CTCCATGCTTCACGCAACACGTCTTCATGCTTTTTCAAAACGACGCAACCGTCAAGACTGTAAAAATCATATTTATTTTATACTAGCATAATTCAAATTCGGAAAAATTGATCACGCAAAAGAATGCAATTTACATCAATTCAACACTAACATAGGGGTGATTTCCCCCCTTTATGAAATTCCCAACCAACTACTGCAGGTACGCAGTCAATATCGAGCTGCCGACAAATAGCAGCTAGTCCATTTAGTCGTAAATGAACACAATCTTCTGGTACCATGCTGCTTTTGTAAACATATAAATTACCAAATTCATTTCGTGGTATACGTCCCTGAAATATAATCTTTCAGCTTAACAAACTGCGAGAAACAGCAAATAGTAAACTTACTCTGAATGCAACTTGAATAAGTGATTAGAGAGGAAATAAAAAGCAGAAAGATTAAATTCCCTCACGTCTACGACTTTAGGTGGTACATATGGTTCAGTCTGCCAGTACCCGTATAATTCTAAGGATCGTGATTCTCTCAGTTCTGATGCTGCACGATGATTCACTCTTCCTTTCACGATTTTATATGGCTTTTCACCAGCCTATAAATTGCATAAACATATAATTAAAAGAAAAATGTAACAGCAATTTTTTGAGTACGAATCCTTTTCAAATCAAACAACAAGGAATTTCTCTCGCAAGAAACTTTCCTCAGAACTAAAACGTACTTTAACCATACGTGCATGTTTCATCCAATTCAATGCACCGTCAAGGTGGTACACAGAACTTCGCGGATAAATATCAATACCTCGAATTTGCCCAATAGGAGCCTGATCTTCCGGATAAATCGCCTCATATTTCAAGATATCTTTTTTCAATACATATCTAAAAGCAAAAAAATTTTGGTGACAAAAAAAAAAAAACCCATGGAAATTGTAATATCAATACAGCCGATGATTTTTACAGTGGATGATTCTTGTATTCGGCAACCGTTGCTGGTTTTGGCTTTGAGAGAAGTTCATTGTGTATTGCAACATCTTCAATGCGTTCACGTTTCCGGTTTTTGCTCCGATACATCTACAAATCAACTAAAAAAGTTAACAACCATATGAAACCAAAGGAATCGTACAAAACACAGTCAGGCTAACAAACCTTTAATGTATCAGTCCACCATGAAGAATCAACACGAAGTCGTCGTGTTTCAGCTGATAGAAATTTGGAAGCATATCGTGCTGTTACATCGCGCATACCCATATCTGTACTAGTTATATAATTCGTCTAGCAAAAAAAAAAGAAAAAAAGAAAATGCATCTCATATGTAGAACAGCTATAATCCAATTGGACTAACTATTTAGAGCAGAAAACTTACTGTTATCAATACAAACAACGTAATGCATCGGTACAGTAGCGTTCGCTTCCAAGCTTTCAGGCATATCAACAGTTCCGCACCACGGATCTATACCTAAATAAAGTGCAAATTCATGCTCGAAAACAAAGTGGGAAAACATGAAAATAATGAATTGAATTCAATAAAAGTAGTTTGAGCCTTAAAATTATGAAGAAATGGATCGATTTGGAAAAGTTATATGTGAAATTTCTCAATCAGCAAAGTCAGCGAAACCAATCGAACATAAGGTTTTACGTCTCGGTGTTGCTCCTTCACCAGACTCCTTCACCATTATAATTACATTACGATTTTATAAGGGATCATTCACCCAGAGACTAGGCTGATAGAGATGATTCATTCATTCAGCGTGAACAAAGGCAGTTGATATTACATACAGGGGACCTTGCATTAATGATGATTTACTTCTGAGTTTTGTTAATTAAATAAGCAGTATCGGAAGAAAACGTACAAATCCATCTAGCATTAATATGATCCCAATATTCCACCCAATAATTTCTTTCCGAATCTGTTTTCCTTTTGTTGATAAATGTAGGATGATCGAAATTATTTCTACTGTCTCTTTTTGATCGCTTTACATTTGACCTTTTCGTCTCTTCATTCATTTTTACACTACTATTTTCGCTGCAATCATCGGTCTTTATCTGCACCTTCTTCGTTACTTCATATAGCTTCTGTTCCCAAACCACTGAATTGTCGTCGTTATTGATATTCTTTTCAACGAAGGTTTCAGTATGCTCAGAGCGCAACATACTCACTGTCTAAACAACATGCTATACTCCACTGATATTTGTATTGTTATGAAAATAAAATATATGACATATTGATTTTATTAATTAATTTCTTTAAAACCACTTAAATTACTCCAGTTTTTATTAATTCCAGTCCTAGTGAATATTTGAAATATATCTAACATACCAGTCTATGTTTTATAGGTTGACATGAGAGGCACAATCGGGTGCACTGCTTCAACGATAACAGACACAAAAACAACAGCTAAAAAAATAAAAATGTGTGGAGAAACGGTTCATAACGATTACAGCATAACTATTACCTACAATCAATAATCATATATAAAAAGCTTACCGATGCCAAGTCTTTGTCGTCTTCGTAGACACGTTCATCAATCAACTCCTCCAGTCTTTTCATCTAAATTTATAATTTAATTGTACGAAAAACTCGGCGTGAAAAAAAGAAAGAAATATTAAACAGATTTCACTGATTGGGTAACTTAACAGGGACGAATTGACTTCAACGATAAGGCAAATATCGTTGAGTGTACAGAAAAACGAACAATACCTGAGAATCACAAAAGCCATTTCTGGCAACGTATTTCCTCTCAGTAAGTTGAAAAGCTGATCGAAACCACTTCAAAAATCTCTCGACTATTGCCACATCGAATTCATGTTTCGCTGCAGTTATATAACCTTCTGGTATCAACGACAAGCACAGCGACGTTAATACCTCATGTCGTATTAAGGCACGTGTCCACATACGCAAATGTGCAATATAACAGAGAAGATGCATCTGAATTTAACCTACAAACCCTTGCAAGCAGCGATACGTTAATTACCTCCAATTCTACCAAACATTTTAGTTGGTATAAAGAAATAAACTAAAAACTTTGTTTAATTAAATTCAAAGAGTAATGTGAAACATCATCTACTGGAAGGATTGACGATTAATAGATATCTAAGTGTTATATTCTCTCATACTGTATTAAAGTAATCTAAATTACTGTCAATAGCAATTAAGCAAAATCCTCAATCACTTCTCTTATTTTTTTTTAACATTTGCATTGAAATTTAGACTAACCTTATGACAATTAATTTGCCGATCACGAATTTTACGATTAACTTGTTGCCGAATGAATTTTGCCCATTTGCTTTCTTCTGTTTCAACAGATTTCGCAGCTTTAATTGTAACTTCGACTGTACCATCAGAATCTTCTTTATAATTTGTTTCGTCATCAAAATCCACGTCTTCCCATTCATCTTCCGAAATATTCGAATCAATAGTGTCATCCGAACTAACGCTAACTTTACGTTTCCGAGTTTTTGGTTTTTTCAATGCTTTAGCAGAAACGTTTTTAGATTTTGAATTTCCTAAAAAAAAAGAAAACTAGCTTGGTTTAGAATTTTGTTGGAATGAAGAGAAGAAAATCTGGAACGATATTATTTGAAAGCTTTTACAACATAGTGCTATTAAAATGTTTGTTCAGTTTATTGTGCTGTAATGTTGATTAACTTTACCTTGTTCCAAACAAAAATGATTTCTCTCCTTTATATCAATAACATTCAAATCTTTCTTGCATCCTTTTACGGTGGTTAATGCCAATTTTGATTTTTGTTCCAATCTACTACTCCTCCGATTACCAACACTTCCCATCCTGTAATAGTAACGGATTTTACGGAAGGAAAACATCACGTTCTGGAGAGTGTTATAGTCACATAACATCATCATTAATAATGATCGTTGCATTTAATCAATCTCAAGCTCATATCTCTCCAAAATTAAAGAGCATTGATGCATCATGAATCCACTCTCAAACAATATCTCATTACTGGATAACCTATACCATCACCTACTAAACTTCGTACAACCGACCCATTCGTCTTCTAGGAAATAGCGGTCATTGGAGGAGGATGCTTGTAGATGGGATAAAAATGGGTCGACTGGGTGGGTTCATGCTTAACAATATATTCAGGATTAAAGAAAATGCAGGGAAAATAAGGGACATCATATGATTGCGAAATACTATTACTGCTATGATGCTAACAATGGGTGAGGGTGTAAGCACTGTGATGATTGTTCATTCCTTTCTATGGACAGCACGGAGTGTGACAGGAGTGTCGCTCTTTTAAAGGTACAATATTTGTATCGAAATACTGTTTATGTCGTGTGCTAATTAAAAATGTTGTCAACTTTACTCAACAATTAAGGCACTACAGTAACACGACACAAAAAATGTATCACTGGCATTGACACAGATGATGACGGAAACAGTTACAGAAAGTATGACATATAATCTCTGAAACAAAAAAAAATCTTGAGAAAGTTTCGAAGAAATTGTTCAATTTCCGGAACTTGAAAAAGGCGAAATCCTTTCCACTTGACTCTCTGAGAAGAGAATCCCTTTATAAGTCCTATTAACTGTAAGCTGCTGACAAATAAGGAAGCTATTCAATCGAAGCACAGGTTCAACGACTGTTCATTTTGACCTTCACGATTCTTCACCACACACTTGTACCTGAAACACAAACGACATTGTTCCATTTGTCTAGCCTGTTCGTCTAATAAATAACATCAGGTTATTCCAGTTCAGTAATGCATTATTACTTGCCAAGATTCATTTATCGAGTAGGAGGATTAATTTAATCAAAATTAACTGGTCGATCTTCAATTCAACCGGGATGCACTTAATTTGCTTTATGGGCCAGTTAGTTATCCAATTCGCAAAACCATCATAAATAACTAAAGTGATGGCCTGAAAATGGCTCACTTGGCCTGATCCTCTTTTACTGGTCCATGTATTTCTAATAAATACTGTAAGCCCTCTTTGTCTTTATCGTCTTTTTTCGTCACCATTTTTATTCGGTCCGTCGCTTTTAGTGGCTTGTCATCCTGAAAATATGAATTAGTAGTCTAGGACTGGTGGTTAGATTCACATCCATAAATGACTCTCTTATGATAGCGAGCAATTTATTTACAGACCCACAAATTCCAACTTCATCCTGCATGAAATTGAAGACTCTAATTCTTAGAATGGAGAGAGGGTAGATTACTGGGAACTGGAAAAACCAATGATGAAAAGTTTGGGATGAGCAGCATACATGAACTAGTACATTTTTATGGCTACTGAAGGTAAAAGTACCAGGTGCCGTCCACTCCACTCAACTACTTCATTTTTGACACTCTTTTTTCTCTGATGAGTGTGAAAGCTCAAAGATCCCCAAGTTTTCATCGTTGATTCTTGATCATAGGATAAACTGCCGTATTTTTTCAAAATGTTTTAACACACAATACCTTAAACCATTCAGCTGTCATTTCCAGATGTGATTTCGCTCGAACCTTAATCACAATAATATTACCACCATCACGTTGTACTATATGGGGCTTATCATGAAATTCCGGTGCATCTGAAAAGAGAAAATAGTATCTTAAGTAATCATTTTCATTGTAATTTCTTTTATTATGGAATTATCATTATGAAATCTAAGTAATCTGTCGATGGTTCCGCCAGGAGTAATTTAAACTCATCGAAGTACCGCAAACTCTACTTACTCTCCTTGCCAGCAGTAAATTTTAATCATCATGTTGTCATATACAACATATTATCATTCCATTATCAAATTACTGTTGAATTTTTTGTTCGAGTATATATGCGAGAAAATAAAAATTTAATTACCAAGTGTAAATCATGTAGAACCTACCATAATAACCTTAGAGTTTTAGTAGAATAGATTGTATGAGCCTACTACCCAAGATCCTAATTTCTACCTATTAATATCTCTCTCTAAACTAACAATTTCCCCATTTAAGACAAAAAAGGCATAACTGAGGAATAATTACATACAAGTGAAGCAAGTAATACTCACTTCCAGCTTTCACAGTAAATGTAGCACTATTTTCGCCATCGCTGCTGCAGAATTTCACCTTATATGAGCCTGCCAGTTCCTTATCGAAATTCTTGATAAAAAAAATAAGCTGATAAATACGGCATGTTCCAAATGAGTAAACAAATAATTAAATAGTGCAGCTCCCAAAAAGATGCAGCATCCAATTATTTAAGTTCTTTTTCTTCTTTAGCATTTGTCCCGCTCTAGTGCACAGTCCGCTTTTCTGGTTCGTTGCGCCATTTTGCTCGATCATGCGCTTGATCGGGAAATACGCCAGCAGTCTTCATATCATTGTGTAGCGTCAGACTCTGATACTGATACTTGCATACTTTCCCACTCATCGGGCTTTGTGAGTGGGCTTCAGTTCCCGCGGCGCCGGTCACCATTTTTATACGATGTGATACTGGTCATCCAAGGCTCGCCCGTCATGGAAAGACTATCGCTAGACCCAGGGAAACACAACCGGTCAGTAAAGTGTAAAAATAACCAATCTAGTATCCAGTTGTTTAATTGTTTACCAAAAGTAATGCACGTCGAAGTTGATCGATGAAACTTGACAGTGTTTCATCGACCAATTTCGACATTAATTTTAAAATATTATAGTAATGCAAGTATGGATCAGTACGCAAACAGTATTAATAACAGTATTCTGCATCTGAAGAGTCTCATAACCAGCTAACCTATGGCTGGAACAAAGCCTAAGGATACTTAGGCGAAAACTAATAGCTACTGCCTTATGGTGTTCATAAGGGAAAACTTGCAGCAATTTTCACTTCCAGATGAGCTATAATCCCAATTTTTCATGTCATTTTCGAATGACTATTACTACAGATCACCAAAACTACTTACGCAATACTGAAGTTACGGTTATGATGTATAAATTGTCATTTCTTGTGTGTGATGTCTAAATTATTTCTATTGCAATCGTGAAAGCAAATGACTTGCTCACCTTAATTTCACATTTTAATAAAGTTCTCTTGCCACCTTCATCGTGCTGTGAAAAAACGTATGTTTCGGTTGGTTCAATTTCTTTTTCACCCAAAAACCACTTTGTTTTCTCGGGTAAAATACCTACAAGGAAGTAAACAAATAAAGTATAATACTCTATCTGAGGAAACGAATGGACAAACGGCACTAACCGGATACGACCACTTCTAAACTGACAGTGTTTGTTTTGGTATCTTGTACAATTTTCGGTTCCCCATGTATTACTGGCGGCGCCATTGTGGTGTAATCTACAAAATATTCCACTAGTAATTTCGTACGTTATTTCATTTCATCATGAGTAGAAGTGTAGAATGTCTAAAATAGCCATGAATAAAAGGGAACGGAAAGAAAAGAAATTTGGAATGAATGATAGATAATGAATGAAGACCAGAGAGACACCTTTCCTGAAGGGATCAAGAAACCAACTAGTGAAAACTGTTGTTGCTTCTGAAGGAGTAGGCGTACTTTCATCAGTGCTAATAATGATTGCAGTTTCAACAAATTTTTCCTTTTTTTTTGATGAGATAATGGAATTTAACAGCTGACGATAGTTACTCCTTCTACTACCTCATCTTCTTAGAACCTCATCATCTAGTCAACATTCAAACCTAAGCCATAACCGCATCATTACATCCCACACACTCCCACAGCAAAACCGCATCCGCATCCGCAACTACATCCATTAGTGCATCCGACCGATGATCTCTTATCCAAATTCATACTCATACGCTTAAATGATACCATTAAAAAAATGAGAGAAACATGTAGGAAGGGATAAGATCATCTCATTCATTGGTTTACCACAAGTGAGCCTGGGGAAAGAAATGAAATTAATCCAAATGGTTCAATTTATATGCTTATGTTTGATACAAAACTAATCACCAATCAGAGGAAAAGCTAAGCAATTTCCACTTCGTTAGATATTCCACTCACCCGTTTAATTGCAAACATTCCAAATCGAGAAAACACTAGCTGAATCGGAAGCCATAGAAGAAATAAAATAGCCAATGCGGAAGAATTATTTCCCATGAAATGATGTTAGTCGAAAACGTTAGAACCCCCAGAGTAACTTCCTTAACAATACAATCTAAGCATAAATCGTCTCTAACCATACAACACGATAAGCGAATAATATGGGAGATGTCCCTTTAATTGGCTACTTACTAGCTGAAAATGACTGTTGAAACAATAAGAGTAAAAACAATCTAAACTTCTAACGAATTTCAGTCGTTGAAGTGTAAAGTATCAGCTGTTTGGACTTGAGGTATCTATAGTTAATACTTACGAAGCCAGAAGTGATACTTCCTAAAGTTATGTTAAAATACGTTTGCATATAGCCATGATTATTTATATTATCATATACACTATGTAGGATAGTATAAGCACAACTAATTTATATGTTTGGCCGTTAAACTCTTTGATTGATCAAATGAATTTCCAACCGAACTTTTGCCAATTCCCTTCTCATATGACCATTACTGGGAAGTTATAATGCATGGATCATTGAAAGCCATGCAATGCCTACCAGCAGTGGAATTAGCTTCTACTATTCCATCCACATATCATAAGCATATTGATTTCGGAAATGCCATTTGAAAAGACGGAGGTATACATAACCACAGACACATACAGACACACGCACATGCACTCCTTGAGTGAATTCCATTCATGAACTTTACAAGGGAACTTAATAGATGATAAGAAGGCTATGGTAATAATAGATGACGACTAAGCTTCTTGCAAAGTTGAAGCGGCCAGCCAGACAAATGAGAAGAAATGAACTGGGCTCTCCTTTACTGTGTGGGGAACAGCTGCGATAGTCAATGTTTTCATTGGTTGCTAGCACGAAATCGAAAACTTCAAAACCGCATCTTTTTTCTTTCTTTTTTTTTTTTTTATATTGAGGTAGATTAACAAATCAGTCAGGAGGATGGATAAACAAAAGCACGCAGACGAACAAAGATGAAAAGACTTGGACATACAATGATAGCAAAAACTGAAGGGAAAGTGTATATGATTCTTGAAATTTTCTACTAATCATAAGACAAGCATTAAGATTGTTTCCTCACACAAGATACTGATATGTGGATTTCTCGAGATGTTATTACAATTAATCGCTTAATCCACTCGGAAGATACCATTCCATTCCCTATTTGTTGCCGCCATAGATCGATTTTCCATTTTCGGCTTCTACATTCTGCAGTTGAGATTATTTCACGAATAGTTGGTCTGATTCAAATTAAGTCAGCTGAAAGAGGGAAAATCGTTGACCTCATAAAACAGACTAACACAAGATCTGTGGTATTCTGAGTCGCAACTTAGCAATGCCAAAAAATTGTTATCCTATTCTTCTATTATATGCTTCGGAATGCATTATTTTATATGTTTGAAATGTCAAGATAGCATTTCCTCGGCTTTTCCTCGTTTTAGCATTTCCTTTCAAATAATCCTTTATTTTATGATTCATAATGTCTTATTTGAAAACAATTTGTGTTGTAAATTCCTTTATCAAATCCTCTAAATTCATATAAAGCAGGATGAGTCCATCAAAAGACCAATGGAACGTGAAATAATAGCAGCTATTACAACGACAATGATACTTCTAGTCAGAGTTATATTGTATAACGCTGAAATGAGTTAAGTTTAACATTCGTTAAGAACGTACATTTTTAAGGATTAAATAGGAGTAAAGATTGGTTAGTATGATAAAGTAAGTAATCAAGTACCTCGCTGTGCTTGTATATGAGATATCAATATGAATAGTTCGGTAAGCACTCTGTACGACCATAGGAGATGTAAATGCCATATAATTGAGATAACAGCAAACACATTTCCTGAGAAAATACATGAAATATTGATTCATTTCGTTTCTGACACAACCAAACAAGTTAGATTTATATGCCTGCCTTTATATAAGTAATAAACATGTTGCAACATATCTTTACATCTTTAAGCAAAATATTTTTACATTTCTTTAATTGAGAACAACCTAACAACCGGATGCTTTGGTTATCGTCACATTATATGTGAGATGTTCCTACTGTCTCCCAATTATGGTGAGAGAGATCTTTGACCATACAGAAAGCTGCCTTAACTGTGATGTAACAAACCATAGGATCCAACGCAAAATGCTTGCAACACTTTGTTGAGGGAAAGTCTTGTGGAAATATGAGACGAGATTAATGTCAAAACAATCATGAACGACGCCATTTCTAGCAAACTTTGCAATAAACATTCGTAAAACTCCCATTCCAAATCATAAGCATTCTCGTTACCAGATATTATCCGTCGCCTTATCCATCTGCTGTAGGCATTGCATAGAATAAAAATAATGCACAGCTTGTGACAGAACTGCAAGTAAAGCCAATGTAATGGTGGCGTAAGATGGAAGTGTAGAAAACACTTCTCGTACTTTTCCGTCGTCCTACTATTTCGACAGAGCCTGTAAGTTATTCTATCGACGTATATGGATGGCCAGTTTATATCTTAAAACGTTGTGGTACTTTTGACACATCGAAAGGAAGCATTTTTTTTTAGCAACCGGAGAAGCTCTGAGGGATTTCCGACATCGGTTGTGAGGATGGATGAAGTTTATGTCTTTGTATGTCAACGCTCAGATTGACTGCATGAATGCATATAAACGAATAGGGCGTCAACGATCTAACAAGATTTGCGCTACAACAATATACTAAGCAGTAAAATTGTCAAAGCTACAAACGAATTACAAATTTAAGGAGCAATCTACAGATAACAATAAAATAAGCAAGGAATTTATTCATTCATTACTTGCATTCTGAAAAATATAAAGAATACGCGGTTGCTAGTATTCATCAGGAAGTGTCGATATGCTTCAATATATTGCAACATGAGATCGATTATTACCAGAACAGTATCATATTCGATGTACACATCTACAGGTTTGCCACAGTTGGACTGCAATTGTACAGAAAGTCGAGATACGGATTACAAATTAGCACAGCAAACTTATTTGTATATAAAGTAGCGGTATAGCTATTACTAATTAATAGCCCAAACTCATTCAGTTTAATATCAAAGCTAATATTCGGCATGTAGGTGACAGGACAACATACACATACACATGGAGTGTATGTGAACATATACATGGAAAACATACAGATGAAAGAACATACACATGGAGTGAGTCGAATACCGCTGTCACTATATTTTAGGAAAAGACTTGATGAAGGGTGACAACAATTGATGCAGATGTACTCGTCATCACCTGTTACCATTCTTTTTATCTTCTCCAATTTCGTCCCTGAAACTTAAGCATGTCACTTGACTGGGGCAAATTACACAACGAAACTCTAATATCACCAACCTTTCGCCTTATACACAAGTTTCATGGATAGTTGCATGCAACGGCCGCGGAAACACGACTGGTCGGCTTCCAAATGCAATGGTACCTTTGGGATGGCGGTGACTGTCCTACCAGTGCAGGAATGGTTGTTCGGTTTATATGCATTTGTGGGAATAAGGAAGAGAAGAGAAGGCATTTAATGCATTTTTATTGGGAAATGAACAGAGCGCAATGTGAAAAAGAAAAAGGAACCTGAGGTAACTTAGGTTGTTGTTGGAAATTAAGCTTAGGTTCTGAAAGTGTCAGTGGAAAAAGAGAAATGAGGATGGTTAATGCATTTGGTCCACAATATGGTTTGAATGATATGTGACAAACAAGTCAGTAAATCTTCCGATGAACTGTGATAACCTTAATTATAGCTGAAAGGGATGAATTGTTGTCGATGAGAGATGGCAGAATATTGGCGACATGTATGGCAGAGCAGTGAAGTTCTGGGTAGGTTACCTTCGTATAGATAAACGCTTAGTTTCTTCCATTCCCAGATCACTCTGTCTTTGAAAAGGATTTCCCTTTTCGAATTAGTTACACTTTCAATTTGTGATTCAGGGACGTGGTATTGTGACTTCGTCTGCAAGATCTGGATGATCTCGATTAATATATAAATTGGCCGTGATTCCAGTCTTGTTAAGTGTGCTCTCTAGTTCATCCTCATAAAATTCCTACTATTGCTTGGTCTTCTACACCTGTTACACTGTACTTATCTATAAACACAATACACATCCCCATATATAGCGAGTAATACGGTATTCAAACTCCAAACTGTTACCACGTATTTAGTGTCTGGCTTATTCTTGTTCTCGTCCCGAAAATGTCTTTTTCTGAAACATATTTTTAGACTCTTTAATAGCAAGTTGCTTTCTACTCAATGACTAATTAAAAAATCAACCTGCAGTCATGAGATCAACCTTACTGGGCATACTCTGTGTCACGGATATCTGTTTAAATCGTGCATAGGATGTCGTCCCACCAACAATCAGTCTTTATCCTCAGAATAAATCAATTTAATCCCTACAGAAGGAACGGTCTGTGATTAACAGTGCGTAGCTCCAAATTTGCTCCGGCTTCCATTAGTTTTGCTCGCCAAAAAAAAGAAAGAAGATTGCGAGCATTTTGTTTTATGGGGTGGAGAAGTGGACTGTAGAAACGGTTTTGAAAAAGTAAACCTGGGAAAAAATCTAAAATGCGATCTCCACTCTCTAAAAGATGCCATTCGCCTGAAGCTTCCTAGTAAAATCATGAAGGAGAACAATATTTTAAATTTGTTTTTCGAATGCATCTATTTTCTAAAAATCTGAAGAATAAAGCTAAAATAGTTGATTTTTTCTGCGCTTCCGACCCTTTCATTATTGCCGTTTTTTTTCGGATCTGGACTTAAATCCGTAAAGAAAGCTTGAAATATCATGTTGATTCGGTGGTCATGCGTTTGACTTGACTATAAGTACTACTGACTCTTTCAGTGCACGAAACTAGTGCACAAAATACTATTTTTTTTTTAGTCTTGTAAATATATACAAATCAAAATGATTCAGGAGATTTTAAAAATTTTTTCGTTAATCCTGACGGATTAATATCGGTTCTTATGACGATTTGTCATAAGAAGAGGTATTATTTATCTTGAAACTAATAAATCCCCAATAATTTGCGGATTAATAGTTAGTCAGTTTACGATTACTACAGCAATGAAAGAGCGATAAACATGTTATACAGTGGACTTCGAATCCAAACAGTAAATCCAAAATTTATGAATAAAGTTCGAATCCAAAAAATTCGAATCCAAAATTTATGAATAAAGTACCTTCCAGATTTTTGTTTTTTTGGAATTGTCACCAGAAGATTTGGAATTATCATGTTAGATGATAACCGAATCTGAAACGTTACTGGAGAATTTAACCATCTAGTCTAATAGATTGGATTTTCAAGAGATGTAATCAGATGCATACTGTATACAATATAAAACCAAAAATGCAGGTGACTATATCTCTGCACATCATTACCTATTCGAAGGATGCATAGTTCTTGAATTGGGTGCTGGTTGTACTGGAATACCAGGATTAGTTGCAGCGAAATGTGGAGCCAAATTGGTTATTTTTACGGATCATCCTGAAAGCGAAGAGGTGACCATCTTTACAATGCGTTTTTAAAAATTTGCATATTTGGGTATGACAATTAGCACTGCTTATTAGTAACTTTCGCAGACCATATTGTTTCAAAAATTTTCGGGAAATCGCGGAAGTAAAGAGCAGACATCTTATCCTACGTCATTTGTGTTGAATAACAGTTTCATCTCTAACTTAGAATTTCATGTAAAATAAAACTCACAATTTTTGAAATTCGAATTCACTTCGTTTTCTTCTATTACTTGCTTCTGTTGATGAAAGAATCTTTATGTATTTGTTATTTTCAGGCTTTCAAAATTTTGAAAAAAAACTGCACTGGGAATGGTCTTAATGAACATTCCTTTTTAATAAAGGTAAGCAACGTTATATAATAGAAATAAACTGAATTGTTGTCCGAAAAACTACAATTATTCTGTAGATATTGACTGTTGGCAGATCACGTTACCTCTTTTTTTTTGTTAACTATCAAACTTTTTTCTTCATTTTGTAAATTAGAGGTGTCATAATTTCTTTGTGACTATTAAAGTTTTACTTATATTTATTAGTGAAGTAGTTTTTATTGTGTATTACAATAGAATGACTTTATGATGGAAGAGAATGAGATTTGATTATCTTGGTTGCTCTGAAAAAAATCTTTTGCTAAAATTGACAGAAATTTACCATAGATCATGTTTTCTGTATTTTCCATTTTCATGGTATTATCGCTCTATTCATATGTTAAATTCTTCTGTTGTAATTGTATTCATTTACATGTAAAATGTTCAACTTGTTTTCTAGGATTTAGACTGGAATGGATCAACAAACCTTAATCAGATTCTGGATGATGTGCCTATATTGCATTATATTTTAGCAGCAGATGTTTTCTACGATATTACAGTGTTTGGAGCGTTTATGCACACTGTTACATCATTATTACAGCAATATCCCAAAGCGGCATGCATATTTGCTTATGAAGAGAGAAAGTATTGCATTACATTTTTCTCTGTTAATTTAGCTTTTGATTTTTTTAAATAATAGTTCCTTTTTCATAATAATATTCTTTCCTTATTTTTTATTTTTGATTTTTTTAATAAAACTGCATAATGCAGCACTCTTTTTTACCTTGATATAATCCTGAACCAATTTATAGGGAATTGGTCCAAATCTTCTTTGCTTTTAAAATTGTTCCATTAATCTTGGACATAGTTTCTTCGCTGCATGAACTTCATTGACTTCTAACCATTAATTTCCATTAAAAAATTGTTCACTTTAAAAAGTAATGAACACTTGATGATATCATCAAAGTCATGACTGAAGTTCGTTAACTTATATTGAGGCGAATTGTCTTCATAGACTGTCTAAAGCTATTATTTTTAAAGTGGAAAATTTTGTACTTTCGGAAGTACTTGCACAACGTGACACCAGAGCTCCAAGATTTTCTTTATTTCTACCTCAAAATTGGGTAATTAATTCATTTGATAAAGGAAACAATATTAACGTAGCATAATCATTGAGAACTAAAATACACAATGCATAATGCCAATTCCAAAAACGCCGTCACAAGATAATTTCCAAATACACCAATCTGGAGAGTGAAAAAAGCATTTTCTCGTACTAATTGCAAGGTTTATTTATATATTTTTTAAGGATTGGTTGTACGGATTACAAAGATTAGCGCCTCTGTTAGTGAGCATTAGTAAACCGCTTTGTTAGCGTACATTGCTAAACAATGTGCACATATACAATCTATGCACCGATAGCTCCCTACTATAGAAAAGAATTTAGATAATTTTTAAATCTTAGTCATGATCTAATGTTGATGTCACTACATCACTGCACATTCACTTATGATTCCTTAAATTTTTCTTCATTAAACCTATTACACTAAAATCATTTCATTCAGTTAAAGCATGACCGATCTTTTTCTCTGATACCACAAAGCCAAGCACATGCATTTATCTTCTTTCCTTCATCCGACCAGTATGATCTTTCCATTTCATTCTGATTTATTGTGATGGAGCAGTTTGTTCTGCCTTTTCTATTAAGAGTTATTGCTAAATCAGGTTTGAGGTTAAAGTATGATATGTCAGGTTTAATGTAGATGATCTAAGTTTTATTGTTAATTCCTCAACTAGTTTTCTTTGAACTTCTCCTAATATGATTTGATTGAATCGTTAAGCAGCATTTCTTGAATCATCTGCTCCTCTTTCCTTTTTTTGGGCACTCTCCTAGCCAAGGCTGAAAAACTTTGATAAATAATGGTCTCCATATTTCGCTTTTTCCCCGTTAAATTTCCGCATCAGAGAAATAATGATAAACCATTGATCTTTACAAGAAAATAAAGCATAAAGGAAGCATAAAGAATGAAATAATGAATAATCATTCAGTACTTTCATTCAGCTCTTCCATTCACTGAATCTCCATATCTCACTTTACTAATAAGCAGCCTTAGTGATCTACCAAAGGTGCGTTCCTTCATTAAGGCCTAGTATGGTAGAGTAGGAGGTTTTTTAAGGATGTTCACTTCGATAATTATGCATGACCATATTGCTCACAATATTGCTCTCCTTCCCATATTGCTCTCCTTTTCTTCATCAATCAAACTTCATCAGATACAGTGATCTGGATGAGTATATTTTTACTTTGTTTCATTGCCTATATTTCTCGTTGATATTTATGTAAATTCTTTGCATTCCATTGCAATGCTTGTCTTCAATGTAGGTGCAGAAACTGTTTCGTTGTGAGGAGAATGGTTTCATTCTCACCTTTTGTTGTTTCATCTTTTTTATATGCACTGTTGTGCGGTGTGCAGTTACAATCTTGAATGTTGCTCAATTGTTCATCGAAATCTCGGATAGCTGTTGTGGATGTTGTTCTGCTACAAATGACTCTTTTAAGATTATTGTGAAATTTAACTAGTCATTTTCATTGGCTTTTGTTAGCGCACAGACTAAGATAGTTTGAAATGTCAGTTCTGGAACTAAAAGTGCTGATTTTTTTCTATTCTTGTCACTCATAATAATAATGAATGAAGCACTTGAGTTTTTATGAGGTAAGGAAAGGTTACAATACCTTTTATAGAAAAAAAAAAGGAAATAGACTATCTTTTTTAGAACTGCTTATTTAGTAGATAAAATATTTGCTTGTATGATAAGCGGCTGCTTTCTTTGATAAATCTTAGCAGATTTTTTTCAGCAGTAATTGGTCGATCGAGGATCTGCTTCTGCTGAATGAGTTATGCTGTAGCGTATACGCATCGTTGATACCGATCTTCATACAATTCACATTGGGATTATTTTTAGTAAGAAAGGTAAATTAATCTATATGGGGCTGCATATTATGTCTCTGTTGACGATTTGCTTCAACTGTGATGAAGTTTGAGGGTTCCTTCTACCTCTTTGTTGATAACACCTCAGATTTCAGTAATTAAATCTTCTTACGATGAGTTGAGTTTATTATAAACAACGAACTCAGCAATTATGATTTCGATAAGACAACGATAGGAATATGAAAAGTAGACTCAATAACGCTCGTTATCGTCTATTTAACTGACGTAATTTAAACACATCTTTGAAATGCTCTTAGAGCTTAGGACCCGCTACATCCTCGGGTAGGGAGGATCCTGATACAGTTCTGAGATTACAAGAATTAGCGCTTTCCCTAGTGCATGTGGAATGGAGATCTTTGTTAGAGTACAATGGACGCACAATTTTACCTTACATTTTATATTGTTTAGTAAATCTACGCATACAACATATACCCAGCAGTGTCAAATTCATAACAAAAGGATTACCGATTCATTGCTTCTCCCCAAGATTTCAGCGACAGTCTCTTTTTATAACGTCCGTAAAAATATCAGTCAAGTAATGAAGTGGCAAATGCTTTCTGCTTTTCTTATACTCCTTCTCATGTACTTTGCTATTAGATTAAAATTTGGTTAAGTTCAGTGAAGTAAAAACATGATAGTTTTTGGTCACGGAATTGAATCTGGGAAGGTATCAATTTGAATTCATAAAATTCAAAATCGTAGTACTTCTCTGGCAGAGAATCCTGCTAATCACTGCAGCATCATTCACTATCTCTATCCTAAAGCATAATTATATTCACATACACTAATAACATGAAACACATTGCATGCATTCAAGAATATGTCGCATTTCTTCACATAATTTCGTTGGGCTTTCAATGTATACATAATGTAAGGGTGCATTGAGGGCATCTCTCTACAGTTTACACACTTCATGCCTTTTTTCTTATGAGTTTAACTTGATCAAAGATTAAAATTTCAACCTTCATACGATTATCTATGCTATGCTTGCATTACTAGTATGTGTTATTTATGTGTTGATGTTTATTTTCTTCGTCGTAAAATTAAAATATTTCATAAGCATACCTACATATAGAATTCTTAAACTGCATTGATATTTGGGATTATTATCAAAACTCTCTTTGGCACTGAATTACAAAAACAGTTTGAATTTCTCGAATTTCTTTCGCTTTATTTTCTGTTTCGGAAATACATATCTGTCATTTGGCAGCATACTTTAAAACTCTAATTTCTGATGTTACACTATATTGTGCATGCATTTGTTTTCTAGCAGTGTGCTTCCATCTCTTTTGAATCGATTTTTCCAGTTTCTCATTCAGAGGGTTCATTGATCTGGATTTTTTTAAAGATTTATTCTTGTATACAGATTCTAAAACATTGGATTTGTCCAATTTGGATGGATACTGTTCTTTGCACTGCGTGGCCAAATTGAATATATTTTATTAACTCATTTTTTGTCGCTCAGTAATGCTAACTCAGTACACTTAGCAAATCCCCATTTTCATTTAAAAATTGGAAAACTTTTCTGAATTTTACCTGTCATTTTGCAAGATATTTTTTTTTCCATCTCTATTTTATCTTTTCCCATCTCTACTCCGCACCAAAATTTTGAACCATTATCTTAAATAAGCTGAGAGTCCGGAATTTTGCATCTGGATGACATTTTCGTATTAATTTTCACAACTCATGTGGAGAGTTCGTATGAACAGATCATTTTGCTACTGCGTGTAACTCTTTGTTTGTATGAGATGCTTCTAAATTATATTTTCAGTGCAGCTATAAAACCTAAAGCAAGATTTGGCACATTTTCTTGTTCTTGTGACATTGCCAAATGAAAGTGGGAATGGGACAATACGACTTACGTATAAAAAGGCTTGTGATTTCCCGAGCCAGAGATAGGAGATGGTAAATGCAAAGTTGAAATGAAAAGCGATAACATTTGGAGGATTGATGTAGCTGGAAATTTTAAGATTTTATGTCGTGCATAATGTTAAAATATAAGGCTATAGAAGTGACTTTTAAAAGTTTGACAGTGATTATTGCAGATTTTATGGAAGCGTCGAGAATATTTGCTGGAATCGAAGGGTATCCTTTCATCTTTTTAAATTGTCGCTTTGTATGTTGTTAAGTGGCTTGGATACGTTTTTCACATTTTTGTCATCAAAATTTCAAGAATCCTCCTCTTCTGCATATTTTTCATTTTCGGTAATAAATTTCAGTGGCGCAACACAATCCCGACTTCTTTTTATTGATGAAACTGGCAAGCGATATGGTGAGTGGAGTCAATCTGGTCTGAATTGCTGCCTTGATGGATTCGATGTGATTGCAGACAGAATAGCAAAGTGGATTCAAATGGCTAAAAAAGAAGTTGGGATCGTTGGTCCTCTTGCAGCTGTGGTAATGATTGTGTTGCAATCTACTAGGCATTTCGTTTCTCATCAATAACCAATTTTTAGAATAAAATCAGTGTTTGAAGTCTACATTCGTCTGAGGCGATATCTATTCTCATTAATATGGAAAAATGACTGCACATCTTTCTTGGCGATTATAAGTTTTCATATTAAGGGGATGGGTCTTTCGGGGGCTGAAGATGAAGAAAACAATCAAAGACTGATTGGATTTTTGAAAGATCAACATGGCGACATTGCTGTCGAGTTTTCGCTGTCTTCCGATGCTGTCGTTGCAGTTGCTGCTTCGTTCCAAAACGGTGAGAATATGTTATGTTTCTATTCATCATGATTCCACTATCCAATAAGTTTTGGACGTACTGGAACCATTTTAATTTTCTTAACCGGGTTTGAAGTTTGGATACATTATTTTGGTCCAGCTCAGGTGGAATAGAATATACGTATAGGTGGTACGGTAATGGTTGCTGGAACGGGTTCAGCCTGTCGATTACTAAAGGCAGACGGCAACGTGTATGGTGTTGGCGGTTGGGGACATGAAATCGGTGATGGTGGTAGCGCATTTTGGATTGCAAGGAGGTATTGTATTATGCTAGTTGCGCAATGAGATTTCTTGTATCAAACTGCTTTTTATGCTTTAAGTTTTTGAAACTGGCTGTTTTCTTATGGAATTTAAACATTATTTAAAGATTTAACCGTGTAGAAGAAAGATTAAAGGTTAATCCGATACATATTTGACGAGGAAGATGGACTTTATCCGTCACCATATCCGATTTCAAAAACGAAACGATTGTTCCTTGAGTTTTTTGGTCTATGTAATAAGGCGGGTATTTTGGAGGTTTTATATACTAATTTCGATAAATCCAGGATTGCATCTTTTGCGGCTCACGTGGCTAAAGGTTTTTTTTTTAAAAAGCATTTTTTTCTAAGGCCTATTTTGGGACCTTTTATCCATTTATCAGTAGTTACCTATCAAAAGTGATCTTTTCGCAACCGAATTTTGTGGAAGTCAAATTTATATAATTTTTTAGAAGCAAGTGATGACCCTCTTATTCGACAAGTTTTCCGCGATGCTGGTGAGCAACTGGGCTTACATGTGCGAGCTATTTCAAGAAATTTTGATGAGGTTGGACTTGTTGCTTGTCACGACTTTCAGATGGTCTGATCTATAATTTACCAGACTATAGTACCACTTCAGTGATTATTCTGTGTTGTAGGAAATGTTCGACGATGCTCCGCTTTTACTGATTGGTTCTGTATGGCAAAGTTGGGAACTGTTAAAGGATGGTAAGATTGCTATTTGATTAATAAGCGGTTGGTTTATTTTATGTATATTCTAAGAAGGTCTTTTCAAAAAAAGTAAAGACGAGATCTGTTTTGTCTTTTTTTCCTGCTTCATATTGTCTCTTTATAGGTTTTATACATGGGCTCAAGAGTAATGGCAGTCAAATTGGACGGGTAACACTCTACAATCTTTTAGAAACACCTGCTTTAGGAGCAGCTCTACTGGCAGCTAAAAAACTTGGCAAAAAAATAACGTGCGAACAAAGAACTGCTGTATTCGAGGTTCTTAACTTGTGATATTTCACCCACATGTTTCTTTTATGATTATAATGCATGAATCACTTTGACTGGATAGTTTATATGCGCTAGCTATTGTCATAGCTTTTAAAAGCTGCGACCTACGTTTGGGAGTATAGCATATGTCCTTGTTGATTTGAATATTATACTTTGAAGTGTTGTAATGTTATACTTTTTTCGCTATTTTTGTTGCTTTACGAGAAAAAACATGCATTTATGGAATCGAAATTACATTGTCTGATTTCAAACCTCAAATAAGAGGTCATTGGTATCTGCATAACTAGAAAAATGCTTCTATAATTTTGCAAAATTTCTTGTAATATCGCTCCTCACATATTCAAATTACTTATCTACAAGAAAAAATTGTGATAATTCATGATATATATGTATGTATAAGTGTTTGCCTAGCTGTTCTTTTTATATAAAATACTAATTACACTTACTTTTCTTTTTATTACAACAACCATCAATTGCTTTGTGAGTACAAAGGAAGTAACATCAATCGAAACATGTATTAATTAACCATCAGTTTATATTTCTGTGTAACGGGTAAATGTTACGCTTTGTATTTGGTCTTTTTTCTTCACTTTTTTTCTTCAAATATTTTGAATAAAAAAATCCCATTACATATTCTAAATTACGATATCGCTATCATTTCATCGTATTCTCAACATCAAAATGTATTGTTAATAATTATCAAATGTTCTTCGCGAACATCAGAACGTTTGACAATGTTTTGATATTCAATAAGTTGCATCAAAATGATGCATGCTATAAAGATATGTGCTGTTTGATGATACTGGTAATGATTTTGAGCGTAAAGATCAACTCTAATATGATGTTTTTAATTCCTCTTTCAACATATCAGGAAATGTCGGATGAAAACGATATTTTACCTGGACAAAAATGGATTATGTGTAATATATGTTGCCGTTCAGCATCGATCTCATCTTCACGTGTTAAATTTTATTTAACAAAATGTGGTCACATATTTTGTAGCAAATGTTTAATCAGTATTGGATCTTCACGGGGTTAGTTCATATTTGTGATATTATTTTCAGCTAATAAATATCATTGCTCTGCTAATTTTCTATAAGTTTTAGCTTGTTTTATTTTAAGCTAATACTTTTGTGCTCTTCATGTTAACGTACCATAACAAAATTATACCGGATATGGAGCAAAATTTTAACTTTCTTAATTTCATTCCTTAACATCATGTTCTTAACTTCATTATAATCAACGTATTAATTCATTCATTTAGTAAATATTGCAGATGGGGCTCGTGTATGTCTGTACTGCAAGGAGAAAATTACAATTTGTAAGATTAGCCGTGATATGCCTGAAGCGGTTCGTCTTTTAGCTGTAGCAAATATTAGATTCCATGATAGTTGAAAAAATCTTTTCGACAATTCTTATTCTAGATGACAGATCTTTTTTCAGGTTCAAACATATTTCCGATGTCCCAGAGAATTATTGACTGAATCAATGGTTGAAATTATGCAAGTAATCAAATTTCAAACAATGCATGCTGCATATTTGGTGAAACGCTTTAATATAATGGTTAGCCCACAGTGTTATTTTATCTCTTGCAGATATCATTTATCAGCCGAGTTTCAGCAATCTTAGATAACTCTTAAAGCGTAGTTTTTAATGGAAGAGTAGGGGAAACAGTTTGGGAAGTAGACTGACGATTACTAGGATGGGCGATTCAGGTGTCATTTATTTGTTTTCGGTGAGATTTTCTGAAATAATCATCTTTTGTTAGTTGGTTTTTGATTTTTTAGGTAATTTCATGCTATCATCCAAGATGCACTATCTGTGTGGTAGCTAAGTTGATCAATTCCTCAGAAATGAATCATTATATTGTTTTTTTCGAATTTCAGCAAAATAATTATGAAAAACTTCGTCGATTCTGTTGCGAAATTCTGCATAAGAAAACAGTTTTGGAAAGGTATGATATGCTTCATAAATTTGTTTAACACAAATGGGAGAAATGCCATCACTCTTTTTTTATACTTCTGAATGCTAAAATTTGCAGGCAGTTGATGGGTAAAGTTAAGCTCCCACAGCACAACAATATATCAGTTAAGTGAGTCATTGCTTATTTCTTGTTCCTGCGTTCTTAGAATTCGTCGTTCTGCAATTATTCCTACAACGTCGTTCACATATAGTTTTGAAGATTTCAAATAATCGGACAAAATGTTGTCGTGATTTATAAATTAAAATTCGAGAATTAAAAGCTTTGCAAATCACTGAGTCAGTTCAAGAAAAAGATTTCACCGACTAGGTGAGAGACAAACCCTGAAATCTATGACTAACTATAGCTAAGGACTCTTCGGAAACAATCACTTTTTAGCGACATGAGCACTCCCATATTGCGATCAACTACTTCAGCCAAAAATTTGCATTCAATGCGAAATGTCGGAACGTCAAAAACATCAGTCACTTCTGGTTTGTATATTAATATATCTTTTGAAACAACATATCTGCAGAACTTATACACGGCTCCAACACAACTTATATTGCATTTACTTTTATTTGAGATCGCTAACTTTACTCCTATCATTTGTCTAACATGTGCTCATTTATTTTGAGAAGTTCTTACTCTGTGATGAATTTCCCTTGTGATAAATAGAATATCATGAATTTTCATGTTTAATAGCAGTTATTCTCTACAGAAAGCATATCGAAATCGGGTACGGAGTCATCAGTTATTGAAAATTCAACCTGTTCGCTCAATGAATCGGTGGTGAGTTTTCTGAATGTTTCTTTTGCCTCTCTGCATATATTTTTTTTATATAGCTATAGCTGTCATCTCTATGTTCCATTTCCAAAAAATTTTTACTTTCCGTGATGAAATCCAATGTGATCAAGTGATGTACTGAAAATCTGAGATGTTGAGGTTGTTGATATGGCGGAAATATCTGTAAAGAATTCAGTGGTTCCTCGAACCTCCCATGCAAACCAATCAACTTGGTGAGTGGTAAATGATTTTCTCAAAGCAGGTGGCAGTCGAATTATGGCCTGCTTTCTGCAGCTTACACATTTATGAAATACTTCACCGGCCCTTTTTTTATCAACAGTAAGTGTTTTAAAAGAAGTAAAAAGGAAAAACAGATTTCTTCTGTCACGTCATATAGGAAGTTACAAAATCACATGACAGAGAAGTCAGAGAAAGGTAATAAAGAATTAAAATCCCTATCAACCGCGTTCTTCGCAAGGTTGTTGGTACCGGGAACTGTGCTTAAGTGGAATAGAAGCTGTTCGATACACCTTAATTGGGTGCCAAACTTCTCCGTAAACTGGTTCTTTCTGTTCCATTTTTTGCGATATTTTTATCTGGAAATGGGATGGATTCGAAGCATTCCTGCCGATTTTTTTCTTTTCCAGGCTTCCCTACTTGTATTGCAATGAGGAATAGGTGCATTTTTCACCCTAGCCTTATTGATTCCAGGGAGATATCTGATTCACAAGAAATACTTAAGGGGTGTGATCATTCCCAAGAAGAGGAGTAACTTTCAGTGCTGAAAGTGCACTTCTTCAAACATTTTGTTATATTATTACTAATTGCATGATCTCCATTGTATGATTTGATAAATACTCTCTTTATATGTTTTACCAGCAAATATAAAATAAATAAATATTTCAAAACATATAAAAACATACAAATATAAAACATAAATATTTGAATATTTTGAATTTCATTAAGTTTTGTACTTCAAGCCCTTGGTTAGTAACCATCACATAAAAGAGTCATTCGTCACGATACAGCTTGTACTTTAATTATTAAAAGCGAAGAAGAATACCCCTAGAAGGATAGGGAGAGGAGCAGGCATTTTTGAGTTCTGTATAGAAATTCATTATAGCACAATCAAAAATTGCTAGATACTAATTTTGACAATCATTTGCCGAAGGATTTGAATAGAAATGCATTTTAATAAAGCTGATAGTGCTAACAGCTAGTATGTGGGATATGGAGTTATCAAGAATCATATCATTTGAAAATATCAAGCGATCATTAGTTGAATGTATGACAAGGAACATTGCTGCAACCAATTAATTACATTGTTTTAATCATATTTACTGGGAAATTTGTGACTGATCGTATAAAACCATAAGAGTTTGTGAATAATTTGCAGATTGTTATCGATCAGCCATTAATTAGCATAAACTATGATGGGAAAAAATACGCAATGGACGATGATATCAATTACCTTAAGAATTACGGGTAAAACTAATTACAAAGATATGTTGAGGTTTCAAGATTATGAAACTATATTTAGTGTAAGCACTGATGATTTTGTTTTATTTTATTGCCCATGAATATAAGGCTACCGTTTTCTTATTTATTTATTTATTTTTGACAAACGATTGGATGAAGCATGCTGTAATCGATATGCGTTAGTTAATAATATGGAGAAATTTCACGAGCTTGTATTCTTAAACTTAATTAAATGTAAATGAAATGAAGCATCGTATACTGCTGACTGTCACGAAATCTTGGTTATCAGTCCGGAAGCATTCATTCCAAAATATTTCTAACTTGCAATAGAATCGTCATCCGAAAGAGAGAATATCTATCAATGCAACAATCATTTCATATAATTTGATGTATAAACGTTATGATATCTAAGTATGAAATATAACTCGATGAGAGCAAATTATCATCGGTTATCATACCTCTTTTCTAGCCCTACAATCACCAATTAGATATTATATTTGCTGAAAGTTTTCTGAATATAAATTATTAGTTGATGAATAGTTAACACTTCAATCATTAAGCAAGCTGATCCTGATACTGGATAACCAATTTCCATGTAAGTCCACCTGTGATCCACATGTGAATCCATTATTCCACTTTTCCGGTATGCATTAGGACAATGATTGTAATGATTTAGAGTAGATTAATGAGAAAATAATAGTGAAATTGCTGAGAATTGCTTCGATGCACTTAGAATCTTCATCGAAATTTTAGTTCATTACGATCAAATCTGAATTTCTAAAATATATTTTGTGGCAAAAAATTTTTATAAATTTAAAGATGTTCACTTCGAAGTACAATATTGAAAATCAAACCATTTGAAATTGTGATCGATGAGTGGATTTGACAAGAGTTCGGAAATTGATATCGATCGTTTACATTCTGATATGACCTATACCATGTACGGTAGCTATCCGAGAATTGTACAGTATGTAAGAATACCCCCACAAAAAAAAGGTCAATCGACAGAACCACTCGAATTTTTATGCGTATTTTTGTTTTTTGTTTTTTTCCATCAAAACAGCTTATACCCATTGTTTCCATTAGATTTAACTTAATGCAGATCTTAATTAGAAATCTTCTATCCTAATTAGAAATTAGCTTTTTCGAGAAATTTCAAATGTACATTATTTGGATTCTAGTTATCCTGTAAATCAGTATGAATTATGCTCCCGATTGCAATTTGAAATCCTTAATATTGGTTTTTTTTCGATAATTGTTAATAAATATTCTAGAAACTTATTTGTATATCAGTTTTTTGCAACAACACTTATCTAATCTATTCATGTGTCATAGTTCGGATTACAATCATTACTACGAACACCAATGAATATTTTCCACGTTGTGATCAACAAATTTTATATACCAAATCTTATTTGCTTTAGAAAACCATTTTTGAAAATATCGAGGCTTATAAGTGTCAATATATATATATATATATATATATATATATATA